ATATATAATGTATATTCTACAAAGAGAATATAGGATAGATAGATACATATATACACATACATTATGCAGTCTACTCTAGTTCAGTAGGTTTCTTTTCCAATATCTCCTCACATAATTTCCTCAACCTCACTATCATCTTATCTTTGCTTATGTAGACAAAATGGTACAATGGCTCACAAGGCTCTGGCTTACAGCATCCTTCATATAGTACTTGGTTTGACCCGGCTACCATGATCTGAGCTGGAAAATTCAGTAGAACCAGATGACCTTGAAAATTCTAGAAAGTCTCCTCCCTCTTCCCCACCACACTTACCTGATTCAACGTACTCTTTGACGAGCACAGCGCAGTAAGGGTTCATGGCCTCTCCTTGACAAGACTGGCAGGACCCACAGTCAAAGTTGGACAGACCAATTCGAAGAAATGGAGACATGATTGCTCCCTGGAAAACAACAAAAGATAAATACAGTTTGGGGCTATATGATGCATTATTTTTGGTGTTCCATGTCCACTTAACCAGTATTTTATCACCAACAGCCACAGCCTCAAACGGGCCGACTATCCATCTGAACAAATGCTTTTATTTCCCCTCTGTAAAGCATATTGCTGGACTCACCCCAAACCACAGACAGACTTGCTGTCGAAGTACCTTTCTGGAACTCTGTGCTAACCCTGCCAGGGAGAAGTAAAGAGTTAATTCCACTCCACTAATGGAGTTGTCTTTAATAGCTACAGAATAAGGCAGAGGTTTTCCAGCATTTTATTTCTTCTGTTATTCAGCTGGTGCCCAGCAAACAACATACAGTAATGAGAAAATGAGTTTATAGAGTGGGTCTATTTTAGCCACATGTTAAATATGACACCACAAAATTCTTACATGGTCTATTTATGTGTGTAATGGAATTAGCTCTAGGCATTTAGCAGCTGATCCTTATTTACTTTGGATATTTTAAAAAAGGTCTGCTTTCTTCAGTCATACATGCACACACACAGAGGGATGCAGGAAACCTCTGGGCATTATAAACCCCTAAAATACTCTAAACCATTGCCAGACAGTGCCTTGTCTAAGGATAAACAAAATACACCATAAATGACAAAAAGACACTCAGTAATAATTATGTTTTCTTAGAACACAGTGTTTGCTCCTGATTCTAGGAACCTGGTCTGTTTCTTCACCTGCTCTCCCACATTCTTTGCTGTAGACACTTACCTCGACTAAACACCTTTTTTTTGCCCCTGCTTCTTCACAAGATCTTGCTAATCTGAAACTGTCATCTGGTGTTCAGTGAAAATGTAATTTCCTTGCTTCCTCTCTTTTCTTGAACAGTTGTTTCTTCTCTAGAATTTTTCCAAACTTTCTGAAGTAAACCAAAGCTAACACCAACAGAGACTTGGCTGTCTCCTCTGCCTTTGTGTGGGGAAAGAAAAGAACTATTTGGAGTAATAGGAACTCAGAAGTAAGAATCAGTAATGACTGGAAATCTTGAGCCTCTAGTAGCTAATTTAGAAAAACTGTAAGAAATCTCCAGTACTCACTCTCAAATGCTGATATTCTTGGATAAATTTTGAATCTACAGGGAAACATATTAGGAGCTTTTTGACAGATGTGACTAATTTCCCAGATATTAATAAACCCCTAATTTCAGGCAGTGTTTGGAAGGTTTGTCTGAAGGAGGTGGTTGTGGAAACATGGCTTGTCGGCATTCTTCATCTCCAAGACATTTTCTGTCCAGACCACGCTGTTGAATTGCAGCTAAATGAAAGCCTCTTCTTCCCTGCACCATATGATGGTTATTTTAGGCCCACTAATTATTACCTATTTCTCCACTAATTAGCAAATGTCCCCGAGATCTGTTCTCGTCACAGGAATACAGCCATGTGTGGACTTCCTAAGATTTCCTAATGAAAATATTAACTTCTGATTCGAATCTGGAAGGATTGCCGACTCATGGAGGCCGGGTTACAACAACTCTGACCTTTGGAGACTTGTTGCTGCTATTTCCAGGTTGGATTCCTCATCAGACAACGTCGGCCCAACAAGTATCCACCTCAGGAACAGATGGAAACCTCGGGTCACCAGGGTGTCTATTACAGCGTGTGAGGGAGCTGCAGAGGAACCCTCTCTCTTCCTGACAAACACCTTGCTCAGGTGTCAACAACTTCTCATTGAACAAGCAATGCAGATTCAACTGCATTCCGTTAGATTCACTTGCACAATTCTCTCCCCACTAAGCGTTCTACAATTTACTCGATGCTTCTCTCTTTGATGGCTAAGTCAGTACCTCTATTTTTTAGTATTTCTTATTAGTCCATATCTGTAGGACATGGTGCTTACATTCCTCATGGAAGCTGGTACAGGGTTTGGTCTTGGTGACATGACCTGACATACAGTTTGACAAGTAGAAGACAGAAGTGGCATTTGCATGGATTATATCAGGAGCCAAGAAGACGTGTCATCAGCATGTGAGGATGGAATTACCATAAAAGATTTTTATGCTCTGCCTTGTTGGGCCTGGAGCTGATGATGGGAGGGAGGGATTTCCCTGGGTGTAAAAATAGAAAAGAGAGCTCCTTCTATACAAAAATATGAGCTGAAATAGCATGCCTAAGGACTGAACTTGTGAACTAGCCTGTGTGAGCTGTACATCGATGGCCTCCTTGCTGTGTAACCACAGTAGGCTCACACGTGCCCAGAACATGTACACCAGATGACTGATTGGCCAGGCTGCTTCTACCAGGGCTGGGACAGGTCCCTCCACATCCATCTCACCTGAGCAGTAACACCACACACTCAGCTCTCGCCTGTCATGTCCCTGTACATCCACCGTGCACCCCGCTGACCCCGAGGGAAAGCACCAGCCTTCCTTTCAGATCTGCCCTCCCTGTTCTGTGTCATCACTCAGCCTGGCCCTCCGTTCCCGTCGCACCTTCCCCGCTGCCTATTTCCACTTGCTTCAGCTCTGCCCCACCTTCTCCTCAGCTTCCTTCATTCTTGCCTCAGCTCAGTTCTGCTCTGCCTCCTGTGTGGGCCACTACTCAGCTCACCTTGTGTCCCTGTCAAGTCTTGGTCACCTCTCCTTCCCTGACCTCACCATGCTGTTCCCTGAACGAGCTCTCTCAGGATCTTTCTGAGGTGCCGCGGCTTCTCCAGTGTTCCTTAGCTCTAGACTTTTCGTAAAACTGCAACCCTCCTTGGAATGTCTTCCTGTGTCACTCCATCCTTTGTTCCCCTGGGATTTTCTCTGCCCCCTGGGATCCCATGGGCTACCTGGCTACACTGCTAGACAGAACCTGCTACATTTATGCCTTGCTGTTGCCCTTTCCGAGGTCTGCAGTAGGATATACCCCGGGGCTCCGGCCCTGAGCTTGTGTCTCCAGCTCTTAATCATCACATGCGGGACTTAGCAAAACTCCGTCAGGATATCTCCTACTTCATTTTTGAGAAGACTCATATACTCAGAAGAGGGGCCTGAGTCCAGCCACAGATCTCTCCGGCTTCACCTACAGTAAGCTTAGTAGAGAACCCCCCACGCCCCCAGCGCGCTAGCAGTGCGGAAGATAAAGGATTTTTTCCAGTCACACATCCCTTGGGGCACTCAGTCAACTTGTGGGACGGGGGAAAGAGTCAGGGTGCCTGTGCCTACACTGCCAAGTTTCTCCAGAATGCCTCAGTGGATTTGTTGGATTGTGTCTGTCTGCATTAACCAGTCGGTGGATTCTGATGAGTACAGGGAACAGGACTTAATTATCTATTTGCTCTCAGAGCCAATTCCCCTGTCTGGTATGTCTGAAATACTCCAGGCATTTCTGCTGCAGAAGTTAATTTTCAAAAGCAACATTTTACATAATCTTTTAATCTTATGTATCTATTTAACCAGAAAAGACATACAGTGGTCAAAGTAAGCAACAGACAGCTGTGGAGGTAGGCAGTGGCCATCCCAGCAAAGGAAATATCCCAGCCTTATGAACTCAGCTGCTGAGGTTATTTAATCTCTCTCAACTTGTTTTCTCATTTGGAAAGCACTGCTGTTACCACTACTGGTCTTAAGGGCTATGAGAGTTAGGTGGGCAAATACATATAAGATGCTTAGAACGGGGCTGGGATAAAGTAAACTCAATAACTGTTAGTTCTTAGTATTATAGCCCTGATATATTTTCTAATGGGTTGTTTTTAGCCTTTGTTGATATGTACCAAATAGGACAGGAGAGCAGAAATAGCCTTTTAAGGGTGTATCTGGAATGGATTAATGAACTTTCTCTCTGCTCTGCTAGAAGCTCTTGTAAAACTCCACACATATTTCCCACATGGGGCCTGATAGCCTCAAATCCAGTCATCTCGGTGCTGGCACTTTCTGCGATGTGTCAGGGACATCCATCCAGTCTCCCACGCTCTTCTGTCCCAGGTGCAGAGTGCTGTGGTGATGTACTAGAAACCTGCAAAAGGTCTTTACTCTTATGAGCTTAACGTTTTCACGTTCAATGTGATCGCGTGTTTTTGGCACACAGCTTTGGTACAGGTGCGTGACCAAGAATAATTACTCCACAGTGTTCTGGGTCAGGGATTGAGCTGAACTGAGTCTCGACCCACTGGGCATTAACTCACCCATGCACCTGGCTGACTCACCCTCTACAAGTCACATCCCCACAGTCTTTCATGGTGATGTTAAAGTTGGATTGTTCATACAGCCAAACCATATGAGGACAAATTTCCTAGAACTAGAAAGCAATAGGAGTACTATATGCTCTCATTAACTGAAAAAAAAAATCAAGATTTTTTTTCCTTTGCAGCAACTAAAATAAGGTTTCCCATATCTCTTATTTATTTTATTTTATTGCTTTAGTAGTAGGGATGGAACTCCGGACCTATGTTCTATATTTTATTTTTAGACAGAGTCTCTTTAACTCTGCTAAGTTTCCCAGGCTGTGCTCACACTTATGGTCCTCCTGCTTCAGACTTCCAGAGTTCTGGGATTAGAGGTGTGTGTCACCATGGCTGCTGAAATATTGGACAGATTGTTTTTTGTTGACACAGGGTCTCTATGTATTTCAGACTGGCCTTCAACTCACTATGTAGCACAGGCTGGCCTTGAACTTATGGCGATCCTTCTGCCTCAGGCTCCCAAATGCTGGGATTGCATGTGCACTACTATGGCTGGCTTGGACAATATTTTCATTGCTACAATTCACTTGGTAATGTCTCAGTAACTGAGGAAGGTGTCATAATAAAGTAATCACCACTTGTATCAAAAACTCTTACATGTAGAGTAAAAAGTAGTAAACTTGCAATTGAGAAATAAACATTCATTGGTTTACAACGGAATTTTCTCAGCTAAACTAGATAAACATCAGCTTAGTAAATATGGGCAAATGAAGCTCCATCTGTGCTTTTACATTTATTTCTTTACGAGATAGAAAGGGAAAAGTGACTGTTGTAAAGAATGA